GGGAGGTGTGGGGCGGGTGGCTAGTGACACCAATGACATGTGAGTAGAATCAGCAGAGACCCCTTATGACAGAAGTTCCAAAGACCTACTCATGACCCACTGCTGGTCCCCTTTCCTTCCTAAGGAGAAGGTACCAGTAGGGCTGGGGCTTCCACTAGCCTAAGTCTGAACAGAGCTCAACTGGCCCTACACAAGCATGTGGGCAGAAGACATGCATCATATATTAGGTCATCATTTGTGATGGCACACAGTTCCAATCATCATCCCCAGCAGACACAACTACCCTGTCCAGGCCACCAATGGGCTATCCTCTCATTTCTCACTCAGCTCATCTGTGGCTTTAAGAGTTCTAGTCTGTTGGGGTGAGGAATTTTCACTCCCACTTTCAACACACAGCCACCCTGGTGTATGGATTACGGCCAATATTTGCTGCCAAACAATCCATGGCAGCCCAGTAAAACCCTAGACTCTGTTACTTCCTCCTCCAGTACCCAGGCACGAGCACAGGCTCAGCAGTCCTCTTGTCCTCGGCTTGACTATGCAGTCTACAGCAATCAAAAATGGTACACAGAAAATTCCAGAAACAATCGCTAAGATATAAAGGACACCCTGTTCTGAGAGGAAAAACGGTCTCTCACACCATCCTGCTCAGTCTGGCCCTGGATGTGAATTATGCCTCTGCACAGCTGTCTCCATGGAGTGTAGACTACCCACCCATCAGTCGCTCCGCAGCCTTCTTGGCTACCACTCATGGTACCTGTTTTCAAACAACTTTGGTGATGCTGGAATTTTGTTTTTTTTTTTTTTTTTGAAGATTTATTTATTTTTATTGGAAAGCCAGATATACAGAGAGGAGGAGAGACAAGTGAAAATCTTCCTTCCAATGATTCACTCCCCAAGTGGCCGCAATGGCCAGTGCTGAGCCAATCTGAAGCCAGGAGCCAGGATTCCTCCAAGTCTCCCACACAGGTGCAGGGTGCCAAGGCTTTAGGCTGTCCTCAACTGCTTTCCTAGGCCACAAGCAGGGAGTTAGATGGGAAGTGGGGCCACCAAGATTAGAACCGGCGTCCATATAGGATCCTGCCACATGTAAGGCAAGGACTTTTAGCTGCTAAGCTATTGTGCCTGGCCTAAAATTGATGCTGGAATTTTGTTATATCAAAGAGAAGTCTTGAAAGGCTTCCTTTAGGCAAAAAGGCAGACATTCTTAACAAGAAAAGAAAAAACAATTATAGATGCACACAGAGTTTGCTAACAGAGAAGGGGAAATGTCACATTCACATAATTTTTATTATAGTATGGTATAGTAATTGCTTCACTTTATCATATCATATCATCATTGTTAATCTTTTAGTGTGTCTAGCTTGTCAATCAAACGATCAGAGTTATGGGTGTCTGGGAAACTGCTATCTGCTAGTTCACTCCCCAAATGGCCACAATAGCCAAGGCTGGGCCAGGTCAAAGCCAAGAGCCAAGGACTCCATCCATGTCTCCCATGTAGATGGCAGGGGTTGAAGTACTTGGGTCATCCTCTGCTGTTTTCCCAGGTGTATTAGGAGAAAGGTGGCTTGGATGTGGATCAGTCAGGACTCAAACTGGTGGTCTGATATGGGATGCTTACAGATCAACCTACTGTGCCACAACACCAGTGCCACAGGGAGACTTTTACATAATCTTCCCCATGTCAGCATATACGCAAGACTGTCCTGTGTAACTGGGTTGATACACAACTTATAGTCCTAGCTAGTTCTATACAACAAGAGGACTGAAGGGACCACCATAACCTGTCACTGCCCTGGGTTGACAGCGGTAGATCTGTCACTTTTACATCAGTCCTAGAACTGTGAAACAAATTCTTAACAGGCATCCTCTAAGCCCATTCACCACACCCAGGAAAGGCAAGCCAAAGCCCAGGAAGAGTCTATGTGGATGCAAGCACTTGCACTGGACCAAAAGTACATGGCCACTCCCCTGAGCAGGCACCACGGTCACAGCAGAATCACACAGGATCCAGGCCCAATGCAGTCTCCAGCTGCAAGCACCAACACTTTCAGCAGCCTTTGCATTGCTTCTTCCCATCACTCACCCTGGGCATCATGAAAGAGGCGGAAGAAAACCAAAAGAGCAACTCCAGCAGCATAGGAAAAGATATAACCCAAACCAGAGCAGACATGAGCTGGATCCTGACACTGCCTTTCATCCTTCTGGACAGATGATAAACACCAGCATCAATGTGTATTTTAAAAGCCTGTGAGGGGCTGCCATGGTGTGATCGGTTAAGTCACTTCCTACAATGCTAGGATCCCACACGGGCATTGGTTTGAGCCTCAGCTGCACCACTTCTGATCCAGCTCCCTGCTAATGAACCTTGCAAAGTAGTGGAATATGGCTTAAGTCCTGGGACTCCTACATCTACATAAGAGTCTTGAAAAATGCTCCTGGCTCCTCTCTCTGTCTCTTATTCAAAACAAAAAAGTCTACTGAGTTCTCTAGAGACACAAGGCAGATCATACTTGATTTCTCTAATGTGTAGTCTATTGTGTATTTTCCTTGACTTTGTGAAGCCCCAGGATTCTCCTCAGCTCATTAAGGATCCAGTGGTTTGTGGTCAGGCAGAGTACCTGGATTTTCATCCTGGTTCCCACCATAGCACATGTTCCCAGCCTAGGATTAGTCTCATGCACTTGAGCAAATTCAGGCACTCCAACTGCTCCAAACTTCTCCTTAGGGACAGGATGATGGCCCCAGTCAGTCACCAGGCACTGTGGTCTACGACAGCAGCTAAAACTGACATAAACCGGGAAGTATGCAGAGGCTCTAAGTTTGAAAAAGGCATCAGCAAGGCCGGGCCCCCTCCCTCTGGTTTCTCTGGGGGATGAGTTTTCTTTGCTTCCCAACCAGCTTCTGAAGGTGCCAGTGGCAACCCCTTAAGCTGCTGACCAGCAGCTGCCTCACAGGTCCTCCGAGTGTCTCTTCCCTCCCAGTGGTGGGATGTGGCTCCGTGTCTCAGGACTTAACTTCCTCCCCCTCAGCTTGCAGTTCCATCATGTCTGCAAAGACCCCTTCCAGAGAGGGTGCATGCAAGAGAGAGGCTCTTCCACCACTGTTACAAGCTCAGAACCAGGGACCACCACAACCACATCCAAGTCCCCAGTTCCAGCCCGCCCCTTGGAGTTCCCCACAACTCAACCAACAAAACACCTGCCTTGTCTTCTTCAGTTTGGGTTTCTGGCACTCACAACCCAGAGTTCTGATGAGTGCATCCACCAACAGGGGAAAAAAATTGCTATCTAATGTGACTTTTAATCACTTCCTGAAATCTGGGTGGGCTAATTTATAGAAAAGGCTGGTCAGGGCTGATAACTGGTGAAATTAATGAAAGAATTTCCAGGGGTGGGGCTTCTTTTTTCACTCATATGATTAGTCTCTTTATTAACTTAACATATCAAATCTCTCCCTCTGCCAACTTTTCCAAAGTTTAGCTCAAATTCAGCGCACATCAGTGATTCTAATGGGCAGCCCTGGGTGTAGAACCAGGGCCTTGGAGCAAAGCAGACCTGCCAGGCAGCCCCACACCCTGGATCCTGTTTCCCGTGTCCCAGGTAACAGCTGCTATAGGCCAGGCCAATCACCTTCCTGAGCTGAGCATACAGTTGGAGCTCAACCCAGCCCAGCCCAGCCCAGTCACAACACGCACCAGGGACAGAAGGCTGACAACTCTGGAAATTTGCTCTCATGACTCTGGAGGCTGCGTGTGAAGTGTCAGCTGAGAGCTCCAGGTGAAAACTCTCCCTGCATCTCCCTTCTGTCACCGGGCAGCAGATATGTCACCTCAACCCTTGCCCTCATCACTGGGTGCCTGCCTGTAGGTCTCCATCCCTTCTCCTCCTCTTAGAAAAACACTGGACCATCTAGAGTCAGAGCCCACCAATTCCAGCATGAACTCAACCAAGGGGCTTTGCAGAGGGGCCCCTGTTGCCCATCTCCCCGTTTCCACACAAGGTCACGTTCTGAGGCTCCAGGAAGGACACGTGGTGGGGGGGGCAGAGGTAGCATGTAACCTGGCTCATGCCAAGAAAGGCGTTGGGATGGAAAACAAGCTTGCATCCAATTTCCCAGCAGCATACACCCACCGCCTCCGTAGGCTCTGCGCTCTGGGCTCCACGAGGTTTTTCCACCAGCAAATTCTGGAGTGCAGTCAGGAGGCTGAGGACAAAGCTCTCTCCCCAGAAACTCATCCCACAACTTGCATACCTGCAGTATTGCAGGGTCACCATGTCACATGTCACTCAAGGGGAGGCAGGACCTACCCTCCACACTCTGCCTGACTTAGCACCACCAGTGGGTCTGCAACCTCCCTGATGGCAGAGGCAGGTCTGAGAACCAATTCAGTGAAATTTCACATGGCCCACATGGCCTCTAATGAACGTTAGCCTTGTTGAACAGCTCAGTTCAGCCAGGGATCACCAATCACAGTAGATAATGACTGTGACAACATCTGCCTGTTCTTCCAGTTTTTGGAAACTGTCATATGTGAGGCTATCACACATGAAAGTTACCAGCTTTGAGTTGGCAATCCCACACAGCCCTGTTGGCCTGAGCCCAGGAAAGAGCACTCCGTCCAACAGCCCAGGTCCCACTACTTCAAGCAAGTCCTCCTTTCACCCTACCACCACTGTTCTCCCTGCCCATCACCATGCCTAGGGTCTTGCCCACCATCAAGCAACCTGTCCACCACTTCCCTCCCCACCGCTCCTGTTGCCACCACCCAGATCATCACCATCTTACTCACCGCTCTCTTTGCCAGCACCACCCTCCCTGCCCATTGCCCTGCTCATTGTCCCGCCCATCTCACCACCACCCAGCATTGCTGGTTTCCACCCGCCTTGGTCCAGGTAGCATTACATTCTTCGGTAATGATCCCTGCAGGCTCCTTTTGGCCCAGGATCACATTTTTCTTCCCTGCAATCACAGACACCCACCAGCCAGCGGGCCCTTACCTTCTGCAAAGGGCTCCCACTCATAAAAGCGTCCCATGAATGGCTTGTTGTTGTAGGATGCACACTGTACCTCCCGGATGCTCCTGCTGCTCTCTGGACATGCCTGCCGGAGGACAGGGCAAACAAGGTGACATATTAGTGCCAGCACATTTCCTCCAAGCCCTGGGCAAGGCCATGAGGTCTCCTCCTCCATCCCAACCCAGGGTTCCTGAGGCCTTGAGAGCTGAGACTTTTACAGGCCCCCAGGCTCAACCTTCCTCAGGAGGCTCTGTGCTGTATGCCAGGGCTCCCACGCTGATTCTCCATATAGCACAGTGTAAAGAAACCAGCAGACAAAATGGGCTGTACCTGCCACCTGCTTCCACAGGCCTGTACAGTTCTTGGCCAGCCCTTCAGTATAGAGTAACAGAGGCTTTAAGTCCCGTGTGAATGTACTGGCTACTACTGTGCACACACTGACCACTGGACCACTGTTAGACTTCTCACAGAGGCCAAACTGAGACAGTCACAAGGGGCACAGCTGGCAAGGGGCAGAGGCTGGGTCCCAGTCCCGGCAGTATGGTGCCCACCAGCCATCCTTACCCATTCCTTCCCATGACATTGGAATCCTACATGACACTTAAATCCTACACTTTCTGAGTACAGAGAGTCCTCTCAGAGATCCTTGCAGGAATGCACACCCCTGTTCAGTGTCCTTTGCCACCAGGGTTATGACAGTGAAAAGCAGTGACGCATAGGGATCTGAATCCTAGTAGGTTCGCAGGTGATGCTGACTGACCATGCAGAAAACCCTAAGTTGGGCTTGGCATGAGAGTGTAGCAGTTAAGATTCGTGCCTTGAACGTGCTGGGATCCCATATGGGCACCGGTTCTAATCCCGGCAGCCCCGCTTCCCATCCAACTCCCTGCTTGTGGCCTGGGAAAGCAGTCGAGGATGGCCCAAAGCCTTGGGACCCTGTGCCCGCATGAGAGACCCAGAAGAGGCTCCTGGCTTCAGATTGGCTCAACTTTGGCCAATGTGGCCACTTGGGGAGTGAATCATTGCAAGAAAGATCTTCCTCTCTGTCTCTCCTCCTCTCTGTATATCTGCCTTACCAATAAAAGTAAATAAATCTTAAAAAAAAAAAAACCCTAAGGTTTTTTTTTAACCCTCCTCCGATTTTTTTGGTTCACTCTTACCACTGATAAGCAGAGTAACGTGTGACAAAAAGAAATGCAAAAACATAAAGAATTAGGATCTGAATCTCCAATCCACATCATAGAAAAAGCATGACACAGCTTTCACTTAAAAAAAAAATGCATTTACAAGGCAAAGTTCCAGAGAGAAAGGGAAAGAGAGAAGGACTTCGGTCCTTGGGCCCTGAGAGTCATGGGGGAGACAGCGAGAGAACCCTGGCACCTGGTTTTAGACCGGCCCTGCTCTGTCTGTTGCTCCATTTGGAAGTAAATCGTTGGATTGGAGAGATCTTTCTCTGTGTCTCTCCTTTTCTCTCTCTAACTCTGCCTTTCAAATAAAAATAAATAAATCTTAGACAAAACAAAACAACAACAACAACAACAATAAAAAATAAATAAAACAAAAGGCTTCAACAGCCAGGGGTCAAGCAGGAGCCAGGAGCTTCCTCTAGGTTTCCCAAGTAGGTTCAGGGGCCCAATCACTTGGGCCATCTTGTGCTGCTCTCCCTGGTACGTTATTAGCAGGCATCTGATTTGGAAATGGAGCATCTGGGATACAAACTGGCACCCACATGGCATGCTGGCATTACAGGCATCAGCTCAACTCCCACACCACAACACCCCAGTGACAGAGCTTTTCAAATCCAGCTAGACCGTGCTGAAATGAGAAAGAGAACCTACCCCCCTACACATTAAAAAAGCACTGTGTGCGCAAGAAGCCTCCGGAACATGCTGCTAACGTGACAGTTCCAAGTCCTAAGGGATTTATGCAGAAACCTCCCGGATGTGTCAGGCTCACTAGGGCTGTGTGTGCAGTGACAAACAGAGAAGGAGGCCCCAGGCAGGAAGGGGAACCTCTCATGTCCCTAGGACAAGCCCAGGGTGGTCTGAACCCTGTGCAGTCTGAGCCAAACCACATGGAGCGAGAGGCCGCTGTGTGGGGCAGAACATGATGGAAATCACGGGTGGGAGGAAGGGCTGGGACAGGCGGTGGCCCCGAGCTCTGTTGACAGCAGGATGGTGAGAGCAGCTATTGGGTGTCTGGGGGCTGGGCCCCTGCAGGCCTCCAGCCACACCAGCTGTCTTCTAGATGGGTCTGGGGAATGCTACCCACATCATCCTGCCACGAGCTAAATCCAAACAGGATGTGGTCAGCAGAGCACAGTGGAGAAGCTACAATCCCCGCAGCCCACTGCAAGAATGAAGTTTGTTAAAGATAACAGATTCTTAGGAGGACAAGAGGAAGGGAGAGAGATTTGATCTAGCACTTAGATGCCTCCAGCCCACATCAATACTGACTTCGGCTCCTGATGCCAGCTCCCTGCTAATACAGCCTTGGGACTTGGGAGGCAGCAGATGATAGCACAAATCCTTGGGCCCCACATGGGCAACCTAGATTGGGCTCCAGGCTGTTGACTTTGACTTGGCTTAGCCTCAGCTATTATGAGCATTTGAAGAGTGAACCAGCTGATGCATGGGGTTGGGGGGAGAGAGAGAGAGAGAGAATCTGCTTCCCAAATAATAAATAAATAAACACAGAGCCAGGAAAGGGTCCAAGGACACAGGCTTGAAATCTCCTCTCATTGACTCCACAGCTGCCATCCTGGCACCAGGAACAATTAGGGGTCATGCACAAGCTTCGGTCTCACTCGCCATGATATAACCTGGAGTCACAGAGAGATGCAGCAGCAGAGATTGAACCCAGTCTCTCAGCTGAACAGATGGAGATAATGGAGTCTGGAGAAACAGCGGAGCATGCCTGATGACTTGGTGATGCTGATGACCCAGCTTGTCCCAGTCAGACACCTGAGCTGCCTGTTCTCCTAAGAGCCAACCCCTCCATTCCTCAAACCACCCCCCATGAGACCTCCGTCCAAAAGCCACCTGAGATGGACCCAGTGCCACTGCCAGAGTCGGAAGCTGCACAAGACCACACAGAGCCAGTCTGCTTCACCCGTTTCCCTGCAAGCAAACTGCAAGAAGGCCTCAAAGTTCACAGAAATGGGTATTAAAAACCACACGTGGATTTCAAACATGTCTTGCATCAAAACAAATCATTAATTTTCCATTAATTTCTTGGCGTATCCCCACATTGCTAACAAAAAAAACGCACAACTGCCTTCAAAACCCTCCAGAACAGCACAGTATCTCATAACAGAAATGTGTATGTCCTTTTTGCTGTTGTTTTTGAAGCTTACATGTGATTTATATCTAAATTGGCTTATGCTGTTGGTTTTTCTTATCTTTATTCCTCTGAAAGGCAATTACACAGGGAGGTCTTCCATCCACTGGTTCATTCCACAAACGCCCATGTCAATCATGCATCAAGCTGAAGCCAGGATCCAGAAGCTTCTTTTAGGGCTCCCACATGGGTACAGGAACCAGAGCACTTGGGTCATCTTTCATTCCTTTCCTAGGTGCATTAGCAGGGAGCTGGACCAGAAGTAGAACAGCTGGACTAGAATGATGCCCATCACAGGCAGTGGCTTAACCCACCATGCCACGACACCAGCCCTATAAATGTGTATTTCATAACACTGAAAGCAAGCCATACCATTATGTAAGCAAGGAGAGAAATGGTTTTGTGGTTGTGTGCCTGTGTGTACATTCACATGCATGCCCACTGTTCCCTGCTGGTAGAGAGGCGTCAAGGAAACAGACACTAGCCTATTACATGGCACCGGAAGTACAACTGAGATAATACTGTGATTGACAGAGGACATGAGGAGGAGAGCACATCTTCATCTCTCGGGGGAGGGAGACCTGTGGTTGGTCCCCCAGGAAGCAGGAGAGCCCTAGAAGGGACAGGAGAGCAAGGCCATAGGGACTCTAGATAGATGGGGAAGAGGGACGAAGAGGCACCTGATTCCACCATTCTCACACTCTTCTCCATTTATCTGCACAATTTTGTAATCATGAAAAGTGACAGTTGTGACTGCTGGGATTCATACGCACTTGAGGGGGTTTCAGAAGGTGCAGAGAGAATTGGCATTGTGCATGGTGTAGGTTAAAACACAGCCTGCAGCACCAGCCTTCCACGTTCAAATCCCAACTGCTCCACTTCCAATCCAGATCTCTGATAATGCAACTGGGAAAGCAACAGAGAAAGGTCCAAGCATTGGGGGCCCTGACAAGCACGTGGGGCACCTGAATGGAGTTCTTGGCTCCTAACTTCTGCCCGGTTAAACCCCAGCCCTATTTAATGAACCAAAAATTGAAAGAGCTTTCTCTCAATCTTTATTTCTCTCTTTGTAACTCCACCTTTCAAGTAAACCATTTTTTAAGATTTATTTTATTTTTTATTGCAAAGTCAGATACACAGAGAGGAGGAGAGACAGAAAGGAAGATCATCTATCTGCTGATTCATTCCCCCAAGCGGCTGCAACAGCCAGAGCTACGCCTATCCGAAGCCAGGAGCTTCTTTCAGTTCTCCCACATGGGTGCTGCTAGGATTAGAACTGGCATTCTGGCTCCTGGCTCCTGGCTCCAGATCGGTTCAGCTTGGGTAGTTGCGGCTGCTTCGGGAGTGAATCAGCAGATGAAATATCTTTCTCTCTGGCTTTCCTCCTCTCTGTGTATCTGAATTTCCAATTAAAAAATAAAATGAATCTTGTAAAAAAATGTTTACTTGAAAGATGGAGTTACAGAGAGAGATTGAGAGAACGCTCTTTCAATTGTTGGTTCATTAAATAGGGCTGGCCTAGTGGCTAAAGTCCTCGTCTTGCATGCGCTGCCAGGATCCCATGTGGGCTCTGGTTCTAATCCCGGAGGGCCCGCTTCCCATCCAGCTCCCTGCTTGTGGCCTGGGAAAGCAGTTGAGGATGGGCCAAAGCCTTGGGACCCTACATCAGCAAGGGAGGCTGGAGGAAGTTCCTGGCTCCTGTCTTCGGATCAGCACAGCACTGGCTGTTGTGGTCACTTGCGGAGT